TATATATATATATATATATATATATATATATATATATATATATATGTCATAATTTTAATTATATTTTTATGGCATACCAAACTATACTTCTCTTTTTCCACTTTAACAACACGTAAACTTTCAATTCTCCTTTTCAACTGTTTATTATGTAAAACTGTTTGTCTTTTGTTGAAGAGCAAAGATAAAATTTTGCTTGTCACATATATATACATATATTTTACATGCATATATATAAGTATAAACTAACTTATCTTTTTTCCTTTATATATATTGTTTCTTTTGCAGTCTTTTTGATTATCAAATGATACAAGGTAGCATTATATATATATATAGAAATTGTATTGTTCAAGAACGCATACTCCTATAATGTACAGACGAATATAAACAGTTTTATAAACAATTAGTATATTATTAGAAGAAAAGGCAAGAAACGATAGAAACCAAAGCTAATAAAGTAACATTTTTATTTCAAAATTTTCATTTTGTTTTGTGCTAAATAGTACAAAATGAAATTATGTAGTTTAGAATAAGTTATTGGAAGAAAATTCATATTTTATTGTATTAACATACAAAATAAGATACGCAGAATTTTAATCATATTGATAAACTTATTTTTAAAAATATATATTGACGAACTAACAAAATTAAATTAATTGGTTGCAGGTTATCATTAATTTTACCTTGCTTGTTCTTCTGAGTTAATGACTTAAGGATATATGTTGTACTCAGGAAATATAATTGTATACAGTACATTAAATGAAGGAACAAATTCATTACAACATTGTTTTCCAGAAATTTAAATTATTGTGTATATTTTCTCATTATTCTGGTGCAGCGAAACTCAATAGTCTCGAAAAATAATTTAAGTATTGCTTCTTGTTAATATCCTTAATCGCAGATGACGAAATCAGTGTCAGATACGAATGCCTTGTATTATAACATTTATTCGCAGAATTAACATGCATTCTGAAGGATACGGAGTTAATATAACATTCCATCCTGTTTATACAGCTTATTTTATTGTAAACAGGTACGTCCCGTTAGATAATAAATAATATTGTCATGACAGAAATTTTGTGGCCTTAAATTCTGGTTATGAAATTTCTTATTTTAATAAGTCTCTCGTTCGTAAAATGTAGATTTGTAAATGATAGTAAAGTGCGCTAATTATTCGCTGATAAATGAATATCCTTTGGAATTGCTTCATCTTCATCTTCATATTAGATTTGCAGAGCGATATACATAAGCTTACATTTAATAAGTTAGTATTTCCTAGCTTGGAGATGACAAGCTGTATCCAGCTGTAATCTAATATGTTATGAAGTGCGTATAATACCCTAGGTAACCTAAGTTCATTAATAGAACAATAAAACAACCAGCGCACAGTCCAATCTTCGCATATTAAAGTTTAGATTGGATAAGGAAGAAGATTATCACTATGCATGTGCAGTGCGGTGTTCTCTGAGTCTGTCTTTCAAAACTGGTATTTTTAAATTAATACTTGAAATCTATTCTTTACAATATGATCGTTTTGTATCTTTAAGATGTAACAAGATTAATTCACTTAATTTATTCCAAAATATGACAACACGCGCGTGTGCGTGCGTACATCATTTATATATTATATGAAATTCATGATTTGCAAATAGTATGGTGAAGCAATAAATATTACATGTAATTAACGTTAGATGGACTTACAGAATATTGTCATAATGTAATGCAGACGATACGAGAGACTCGTAAATTTTTGTAATCGAGTTTGAGTATACTCTATTTTAGCTTCTTGTATTATATTCCTATACAAAAAAAATCACAAATACGAAAAGGCAGTATATGAATACGATAAGATATCTAATGAATTTAATAATCACGTTTGGTATCCTATGTATCGCATAAACATTTTTACAGACGGCGTGTTAAAATTGTATTTACTTGTAAATTGACGATATCAAAAAGAAGATTCAAATCTAGGTATTATCAGATAGATATTCTGTTTGAAAATGACCGCATTTATGCTTGATCTATATAAATAGTCCGTAAAACTTAATGCCTTACGATAATTATATCACGCATTAGAATATATCTACTTAACGTGTGCATTATTATTTACTGTTGTAACGATACGTTGACTTTATTATTGCGTCAGATAGCTATTGTTTAACAGTATACACTTTACGTGTCCTTTATCTATATGTCTATTTTCACTATCAATGCCTTATTTAATTTAGGACGGAAGGAGACTTAATTGTTTTAAGCTAGCTCAATGTGGTACACAACACGTTTTATTTCCATACATACTTACGTGCACGAACTGAAAGAAATGCGTGACTTAATTACGTTATATTCATGTAAATATTAAAAAAAAATATATATATATATATACGTTGTAATATATTATAAAAAAATGAGCGCTTCTATATCGCAGTTGCAACAAGGAGTACATAAAAGATATGCTTACCGTGCTACGCCCTTGCGTTACGATCATTAATTACTAACGAAATACGGTGGTTTTCAATCATGAAAAAAAAAATTTTTAGTATTAATATTATATTTAATAAAATTAATATTACAAGGTGAATTATGTTCTTATATAATATATATTGTGAAAAACCATACTATATATGCAAATAAATTATATTAAAAAGTTGCACATTACGTAATTCTCAATATCCATCATAAATGATAAATAGAGACGTGTCTAGGGTTCTTTTACTAATTTGTCATTTATTTCTACGTAAGCAGAAAGTCAGAATATTATTTGTATCTCATAATTCGTTTGACCGCCATTAAATCCAACGATAAGGTAACCGATAAATTATTTTTTACAAAGTTTACGAATAATAAGATCACAATTTGCGGATATTTCTTCGAGATAATAGATCGGATTCATGGAATATTTTATCGGCTCTGACATACTTTCGTTATTGTTTTATATTCCTTCACTTTTATGTTTTCTAGAAGAAATTTAGATTCTATATCGAAACGTTAAACGAGAGAGATTCATCAATTAGCGCAGATTTTCAATAAGCCAGCTCTTTTCGACGATTTCGCATTTAAATTTCCCGCCCGCGGCCGGCGCGAGCGAGTACGCCCACGCGCCGCGGGATGGCCCTAGTCGCGGGCACATCTGCAGAATCAAAAAAGACAGTTGGGAAGTGTAACATCACACATCGATTCGGCGGGCCGCGTCGAGCCCGAAAAAAAACTTTCCTCTTCCGCGTTCCTTGGGCCCTGGCCGTGTGCGGCCGTGACGTAGCCGCGCAGCCCGGCGTCCAAACGTTGACGCGCGGTGCGTAAACGCGTGTGGTGCGGTGATATACAAGTGAGAATCGCGACACAACGACGACGAGAGCGTATCAGCGCGTTGTGCGCCGATGGAAACGTGACTGTCCCCCTTCGGGTTTATACGCGGTGGTTCCTGTCACGGGCAGCGGCAGAGCGGGTAGCAGCCCTCTTCGTTCAACCCCCCGTCTCTGCCGAAAGGGCCACGTCGCCGACACGTCGAGGGAGGGAAGGAAGTGCTCGGCGTGCCGATAACGACCACCGCGGCGGAGGTCACTGCATTGCGGTGAGTACGTCGAACCCTGTATATACACTTGGGCCTCCTCGCGACACGGCTTTCGTACACGGCCACACGGCACGCCTCGGAATCGACGGCGGAATCTCCGCCGCGGTGCATTCTCGCCTCCCCCGCACGCCGCCCGGCCGTCGAAGGGGTTCATTACCCCTTTCGGCGACGAGTACATACGCGATATACCTACCTACCTACGGTGTCGCTCTCGGTCGCCGGCCGCCGCGGCGAGCTTTTCGCCCCCGTGATGTCCCCTTTCCGCGGCGATTCCGCGCGGGGACCTTCGCGGAATTTTCGAATACCCCGCGACGAGAAGTTGGCCGCGGGAGAAATTGGTCGCGTCGTTTGAAGTTTAAAGCGAACGTTCGCGAACACGAGAGCGATTCCGCACACCGGTCACCGGGATGCCTCTCTGACATTCGCAACTCCGCAAACTTCCGATCGATTGACGTTTCGAGTTTTGGTGTTTCGTCGGAGCAATGACAGAAGCACGTTCGCAAAGGATCTTCTCGCGGATTCTTTATCGTAGCGAATGCCGTAGACGCACGTATTACCCTGGAGCAACGTAAATAATCCCCTTGCGCTGCAGCCATGATGTTTATTATACATTTGTGATATTACGACGAAGCTGCGGTGGAAACTGAGTAGAATATTTAGAAAAGTAGGAGACGAGAAACTAGTTCTTTACAAATACTGATTTTAATTACACTGAATTGTAATATATACAAAATATATGATATATATGATACATGTTTATAATAAATATATATAAGATTTATACGTATTTATATAATAAAAAATATATAAATGAATTTTTAAATGATTAATGAGTCAAGTAAATACATATAATCTATGCAGTGACACATATAAAAATTTATATAGACAGATACATCTACTTGAGTAATTAGTTATTCAAAAATTTTCCCACGTTTGCATTAAAGTGCTCCTGGTATTTCGTTAATAACCCGCATTAAAATTTACTCAAAAATATTACCCCCCATATAAACTCAATACAAAATGCTCCATCCCGTATAATTTAATCATCCGCGAATATTTTTCATGCAAATTAAAATATTGCTGTTAAAATGGAAATATATATAATATGTCGAGTGTTTTATTCTGTTAACAGCAATTAATATCTTTTGCGTCATTCGCGGGCGATACGTAATCATTTATGATTTAGGAATGTCAAATGACATTCCGCGTCATATTAAAAGGAATTCAAATTGTTTTGTACAACGTATCTAAAACTATAATCGTGTTAAGCTATTAATATATCGTTGTTACTTTCGAAATATTTATTATCTTAATCCATTGCGTCATTATTATCACACTGGATCATGATCATTATCGTCATTTATTTAATCAATCTAAAATATGAAAATACGCACGAAATCCGCGCAAAAATAATTTTAAGCTTCAATAGATTAATAGTTAACGCATAGTCGCGTTATGTTAAAGCTGCGTCTAACATTCACCGCGTGGCGTTTCTTAATTTCACGCCTCTCGTCTCGGCGGTGTTTCGTCACTGCAATATAATATATCCGAGAGAAATTTTTCAATGTTTTTCCGCCGTATCACCAAGCGCGTCGCGCGTTGGCGTATTTATATTGCGTCAATACTACTGCCTGACACAACAGTATCGTTTAGCAATGAACACCGGATAAAACTTCGCCCGCGCTATTGGTGTTGTAATACATATTACGTAAGTGTTATCTAATCAATCCATGTTTCTCGCTCTTCTCCCGCGAAGCAATAATTTTGGAACAAGAGGAACGTTGGGTCTCTATATAGGAACCTATATAGCATTGGGTCGAGCACGCCGCAGTAGTAGCGGTTTTATTTGATATCGACTCGTCGCCGGTCGGTCGGCATGTATCCGTTTTTGTTTAACTCACGTAGTCACCTTCCGGTATCTCTCGATAATGCGTCGATATCTCTCTCATATTTTCCGCGTCTTTTTTTCCTCCCATCGAGAGCTAAACCTCTCACCTCCCACATGCGAACAAACATCAAGATATGGAGTGACATAGAGTGCTGGCAATTGCCTTAATTAACGCTCGATTAATAGCATCCTTTTACGTTTGCGAGAGGCGTGTGTCGCTTTGTCTCGAGCCATTTATTAAAGCGCGTCAGTTTGCATTGTCTTCCTGTAGCTCCCCCCGTCCGCGTGCAGCTTAGGAGTGTCAAGTGAGCTTTTCACACCAATTAAGATATCTAATAATAATCAATCGTTCCTCGGCTGTTGGTGTACTCAAGTTCGTGACACAGACACAACTTGCTATGTGCGTCAAAGGAGAATTGCCATAGTTAAGCCGAAAACTAAGTCCAACAGTCTAACTCCAATGTAATTCAGTATGCTCCAATTTTTGCGATATTAACAATAAGTTAGAAATACAGATTTTTTTATAGCTTATCGCACAAATGCACACACGTGAAAGATTTCTATGTATATCAATCTCGGAAATAGACAGTAATTTTGTTTTAAATTTCTCAATTGCAGTTTTTTTTGAACGCTTAATTCACTTCAAGAGTGGCAAGAAATGATCACCAATATTTCGCGTTATTTATCCGCCAAGTTGTGTATAATGAGCGCCGGGATTGCTATATCTGAAACTAGGCAACCAGTTTATTACCGTTAATTACCGCGCGCGATCGTAATTAGTCGCGTTTTTTTTCGATCGATTCACGTCTCAAGTGAATGGGCAGAGGGACGCGCAGCATCCAACGAGAAGATGGCGTCGAGGAATCGACCCGTGAGTAAATTTTTCCTCTAATTGTTCATTTATTCTGCCAACGACGACTCGATATCGTCGCCATTGCAGCGACACTCTAGCGTTTTGCGTCTCGCACTATCTTCGATACATTAATTAATCAATGGAAAACTACGTCGTTTAAATGTCCTGTGAAATGTGCGCGGATTAAGTGCGATAACGTACGTATAAATATCGTACGGTTATAATTTTTATGCAACACGTGCATGGAAAGTGCCCCATTACGCACGCTACGCGTGCGTGATAGACCACTTTCCAGGCACTTGCAACATAAAATAGGGAGTGTAAGCCGTGTGTAAAGATGAAAATTCCCGGGTGCGGTTACCGCACTCGCCTTCGGCTCGTGCGTAAACTCCACACCCGGGAATTTTCATCTTACCTCACTTGTTACACAAATAACTAATAATATACAGGGATTACTGCTATTTCGGGAACGAGACTCGCATTTCCGACGCGTTCCGGATTTGTAAACTTATCTGCTTGAAACATCTTCGCGGAAGGGACTATCTCGTCACAATTCCCAGTTTAGTCGTGGGTAATCCTTAATGGGTAAGACGTGACAATCACAACGCGCCGTACTCGGAAAGTACGCACGCGCGTTCGGTCGTTCGAGGGACGATCCTTTGATCGCGATAAAACGAGGAGAACGCGTTGCTCGTAAATATCCCGGCGGTGCACATCGCAAAATTATGTCGTCGGGCGAATCACGTTCCGCAGCGCGGATGCCGATGGCGTCGTTGTGTACGGGGCACACGACAGTACAATACCACCTGGAGCATCCAATCATTCCCCCCCGTATTCGCATCCTCGGACGCACGTTTCTGAATTTTAATCTAAATTCTTGTTTAGTTCGGTGTTCAACTCTTTTTTTCCACCCCTTTTTCTTTTCCACGGCATGACGTCGGGATCTTCCTCTCGCAGAGGAATTGCTTGTTCCCTCTGCCATTTCCTCCCGCGGCTGCCATCGAGTATTTAAGTTTCACGAGTCAACACGTGTTATAATTACGGAAATTCTCGGAAAACCGAGACAGGGCGGCGCGGCGTGGTGCCACGTACGTTGCATTGTGCTCCCGATCGAAACCTCGAGCAATTTATTTATATGCGAAAGTCGGCGTTAGGGGTGACACCCGCGTAGCGCAATCTGACAGGTAAAAATTTGGTTTTTCCTCTCGTAAAATGCTTTTAACGTTTTGAAAGGTGTCCTAACCGCAGAGAAATAGAGAAAAAAATTTTGGAAAAAAAATTATTTGACGCCGAATGTACGACGTGTACTGTTGTAAAAATCGTAGTTTGACTTTCCGCGGCATTGCGTCACCCTGCCAACTTAACAATTCGCAATTTTTGAAATTTTGATTTTTTTGCGTACACATCTTTTACGCTATTGATAACCTTTTTCTTTAATATTGAAAACTAAATATTGTGAATTGATGTCGATATCGGAAATAACCATATGTAGGCCTTTATTTTGAATTTTGACGCTATTATAAGTTTCGCTAACTAAGCTGGCGAACACTCTCAACTCTGATCCGTTTGGCACCCGTGGCAATTCGCGCTGTATTCGCTGGTTAGTCTTGATATAATGCGACACTATTAACGCGAGTAAGTGTCTCCATTTCATATCGCGATACCGCAATGAATGAGCATTAAGAATGCGGCCGAATGGCTGGAGAGGACTCGGGCTGAAAAGGGACGAATTAACAGGCAGCTGGAGGACGTAACTGCAATGAAATGGCACGATAAACGCGTTAATATCGTCGACTCGCGCGGCTCGCTGCCGTGGAAACCGCGGAAACTGGGAAAACCGATAGACAGGGGACGCCGCCGACAAAGCCGAAAGTTATCCTAGATTACAGTTTAGGTACACAAAGCGCTGACATCTCTGATCAAATGAGTTACTGCGCGCGGCGACGCGCGACGCGACGATCACTCGCAAGACGGCGGACGTATATACGCTTTTGACAGTCCCCCATTGTGTGCCTCATTGTTTGCGTAATAAAGTCGCCGAAGAAGTCACCTTGCTTGCTTTTATCGGAAAATTAGTTCGCCACCTTACGTTCGCCGTCTTAATCGGGACTCGAACTCGGAAGTCCATTACTTATCGAAAAGTTTTCTTCCGCTTTGTTTTCCTTGATCCCGGGGTCGAATGACGCGCGAAATTATTAAACGATGTCGCAGATGTTGCGTACGGTTATGGAAGATAGCGAAGGAAAAATCGATAAGGGA